GAAGGCTGATCGAGTTCTTCCATCAGTCACTCAATCAGTCATATCCCATCGCGAAGAAAGAAAGCGCCAGGCCGAGATGGAAATGGCGGTGCTCAAGAGCAAGCTGAGATCACTGACTTCTGAGAACGAGGCACTCAGCTCAATCTGTGTGTGAGTTCAAGTCATGCAAGGCAGTGAGGTTTGTTCTTGAGAACCTATGCTTTGTGTCGACATAAGAGGAACGACAAGCAGCGGAGCACACCGGCTTGGAGGCGGGGGATCTTACAACCGATGGGCAGCAGTCGGGTGACACACGAACAGCAATAACTCAGCCGTGGCTGTGCTACGCTTCAAGTCACATATCCGGGACCAGACGTGCAGGCATTGGCTGAGCGTCATGCTCTGGAGCTTCAAGAAGCTGAGGTAAAGATCCAGGCGGAGGCGCCGCATCTGGTTGTGCCAGCAGGGGGGGTTCAGGGGGGCGTAGAAAACACTCGTTCGCGCAGGCCCACACAGAGGCTCGCGCAGAGGCAGATGCCAGGCTGCTCCGCATCGAGGCGATAAGAGATTGTTTTGAGGGGTTTTGGATCGGCAGGCATGAACTGAGAGGTTGGAGCAATGGATCAGGTTGCAAGAAGTCGCACGGGACTATGGGTGCGTCCGCAGGCATCGACCGAAAGATTGGAGCGCGCGGCAATGCGGCTGAAGGAGACTTCTGCGGAAGCCGAGGTCGGTGGGGTCTGGATCGAGAGGGCATTTCAAGCAACGCAAAGCTCATGATCTGATAAAGGTGCAGGTCCAAGAACTCCGCGAGGAGACATCGGAACAGGCGGGGCAGTCGAGTCGAGTTGCGATGGTGTGGCAAGGCTCACGCGCCTCGATTCGTGTTTCGTGCGGAGGATGTGGAGATCCAGAGCCTCCGCGCTTCGCTGGAGGCAGCGGAGTTGGAGGAGGCGGGTTCTGTTGCACCAGGCATCCCTATCATCATCAGCATCATCATCATCATCATCATCATCATGATCATCATTATCATCATCATCATGATCATCATTATCATCATCGTCTCCTCCTGATCATCACTAGCATCATCCGTGTTATCACCATCGTCGACAGCAACACCACAGCATCACCGCCATCACAGGCAACATTCGCACCACTGAGTCTCGTTGGCTGGTGTAGCATTTTTCTGTTTTGCGCGAAACCTTAATCTTTCTTTGTGATCGGCCTGCCAGGAGCTGATCAGAACCTCGCTGCGGGAGCACTTGCGCATTCAGGACTTCTTATCTTGCGTGTGTGGACTGGATCCCTTGTACACATCTGATGATAGGAGTTTCCTACGACCGGCACGGTGGATCCGCTTCCGAGTCCTGTCTCGGGGCTGCATCATAAGGTCAGGATGCTGAATGCTACTGCTAATGCGTACGCTCTCAGGCAGGGGCTTTGCCGGCACGGTTGAGTCCAACATCTCCGGCCACCTGACTCAAACGAGGGATGGGCCAAGGCATGTCAAGGAAGCTGCATGAAGGAGCTGGTCAAAACATGCAATTTCAGTCTAGTGAACTCAGGCTCCGGTCCCTACAGAATTGGCCGAGGACTCCCCGTCGGATTGAGCGAGCCTCTTGACAAATGATGAGCCTAGGAAAGAGTGAACATGCTGCTGGCACACGGCTGAAGCTCCGAGTATTTCTCACATCATCCAAGGACCGACAGGCATCTGACACTGAGGGGCTCTCTTCCGGAGTGAGTGGGCCATGACAAACCCCATGCACTTGCTGCACTCCAGGCAACGTTAGCACTACTTCAGTTTCCAGCCCTCTGACTACGGCAGCACTGAGCACCACATCATCCGAAGCTCAGAGTCCGGATTGCAGGAAGCTTGCCTCCTTTTGGCACTGAGAGCTCATGCTCGACTTCGCGTGAGTCGCGTGGGTCGGATCCAAAATGTGCCTGTCGGATGTTGCGATCGTAACTCATCCTAAACTGAGTTGCTTGCAGAATCCCGCGGTGAACAGTGTGAGCTACCCAATGTGTCGGTCGGAACTGATGAACCTGTTGCTGAGGCTGCAAATGCGATACGACAGGAAGCTCTGCACTGAGTGCTGTCTGGCAATATCTTGACTAGAGAGGGGTCCCTAAACCCTAAACCCCGAATTAAGAGCCCTAAACCCTAAACCCTAAATTAAGGGATCTGGGGGATGTTACCTCGTCGAGCAGAATCCGACTTTCGCCTGCCACGGTTTAGGGTTTAGGGTGTAGGGTTTAAGGGTTGGGGGAAGTTGGCAGGGCAAATCGCAACCTAAGCCCTCATGCTGCCGCAGAGTGCTGAGCGCAGTGCAGTCAAGTGTGAAATAGATGAGCCTCCTTGCTGGTTTTCAGCAAAGAAATCAAACCCGAAGGAATGCCTCGCCACAAGAGGGGCAGAACTTCCAATCTCCTTGATTTGCTTGGCCACAGGCGACACAAAACCGCTTGGGCCCCGCTGGCTCCAGCAGATCTTCTGGAGGCGCCGGCTTGAGACCTTGGGTGATGCCGCAAAATGCGGACGCCTGTGCCACACGCTGGGATTCCCTGGAGGGCTTGTAGTATGTTTGGTCCAGCACACGGCAACTTGTGCCCGTCAGCATAGACACAATCGTCGTTGCTACTCCCTGCTCCTTCAAAAGAGTTACAGCCGTCTTTTTGCAAGAGTGGGAGCTGATTCTGTCGATGATGACGTCTTGCATGACATGAGGGCTGCTCGTCGACTTCGCATCAAGCAGCTGCTCGTGCATTGCAGCCTGTGCTTCTTGGAACTTGTCATGCAGGCCTCGGGTGGTGACGGCCTGGCCCCAAGCTCTCGAATTCTTGCCGCCAAGAACACGTCCAGGAAATAGGAGTCGCCCTGCACGGACTTTGCCTGATTTATCGCGCAGTAGCTGAATCTTTTGGCCCGGGTGTGGCCACTGGCATCCCGATCCTCCCCGTAGTGGTCCTGACTCAGCCTGCGTCCATCCGAGAAGTAGGCATGCAAAGTCTTTGTCCAGAGGGATTTCTCGTGCTGCGGTTTTGCCGTTCACTTTCGGAATGCGTACCACGGGTTGGTTAGTGTCCATGCCAACAAACCACGAGTCGCGCGCCTGCAAGGCACACCCTGCTCTTTCTCCTAAGAACAGGGACAAAATGAAGGCCACAGCAGCCCACGGCGATGCAGCATCGAAGAGCAGAGTCTTGAAGACGTGCAAAACTTGCGCTGGTGTTAGAGCTTCTCGCCCCCCATAAGCCGCTCCTGTCAAGGTGCGCGCTCAAGGACACATGGGTTCCATTTTATATGGTTGAATCGAACTTACTGCCGAATGTCTACGGTGTGATTCGATGAGGGTTCAAATCAATTCAGTCATGAGTCTGCGAGCTACCAGCTTGGCTTTCTGAAGATGTGCCAGGCAGCAGAATTTGGCTTGCTTGCAAACCTTTGACATTGCCCGCGCTTGCTTAGCGTCAAGGAGGTCCATGCTGAGGGTATAGGGCAAATTCTTCACGTCGACGTGCTTGTTCTTGCACATTTTCCATGCGCATAGAAGCTTCACCTTGCTGCGACGGCCCCGTTTGGGGCCTCGCTTCGGAGAACGAGCTCGCTTGGGCATTACGGCAGTGGCTCAGTCACGCAACTAGAAAACCAGACCGCCGCAGACGTCCCCAGACTGCCTTCAATTCTAGCCGCGCAAATCTGGTTTCCATATGTAGGGGCACCTGCCGAAACGCACTTCCGAAAGGTC